TGTTCAGTTTTAACTTTTTCCATCATAAGACTTGGAAAAATGCAACTTTGAAGTTCAAATAGATGCTAAAGAACCTGCTGTATAATGTTTTTTTTAATGTTGTGCTTCATTTGTTTAAAGTCAGAACTCAATTTCATCACACCTGAGTTGAGTTCATTTTAGTTGGAAGTTGAAGAAAGCAGTCCAATTTGCTAATTCATGGGCGCTAGCTAGAATTAGCAATACAAACAAACAACAAGGTATTTCTCTCAGGCTTGTAAATTCAAACACTGAAGGAACAAGTTCAGGGATAAACATTGCACAGTAATTAACATATTGACCATGTTGACCATATAAAATGTGATTGCAGAGGAATTCTGTTTGTCTGAGGGATAAGCACTCTGTACCTTGGTCCAGTCTGTGACAGAGCGTCATCTTAGCCAGCTCCACCTCCGGCCCAGGGTGGTCCAGGACCTGCCTGCACCACCGGAGAGGGCTGAGCGTGCTTTCACTGGGCGGCTTGGCTCTGGGATTCACATACAGCCTGAGACACAGAAGCACTTCAGTCATGTTCTGCAGCCTTCACAGACAACATTTAAATAATCTCACTCGTTGCGGTACTTACTCATTTTACAGAGAAATCCCTCACTACCAAACAGCTCAAAACTGAACACAGTGAGTGCTTTATGTATTTTTTTACTAAATGAAAGAGAGAGAGAGTTTTGAGTTTGGTTCTGTTTGATGCAACAATCTAAAAGGATATCCACGTACATATATTCTTCAAATTCAGCTCAAATCAGCAGCTGCGAGCTTGAACCGACTGGACAGTGACCCCAAACACATTAAAACTAGGTTTTGCTATGATCACCAATATGAAGGAGATGAAATGTCGCAAGCCTCTGTCACTGGACAAATTGATGGGCCATGCTTTACACTTCATGTATGACATTAAATCAACCAAGTTTAATGAGGTCTACCGACTCTGAGAAGAGGATTGGTTAAAAATCCAGCCAGAACTACATCAGAAAATTGATGGACACAGAAGATAATAATGAGCATAAAACGGGACATTTGACCAGATAATAGTGGAGTTGCATGAATCCATCCCCCAAAATAGCAGTTATTTAAATGATTAACATTAATATGGGAATCACATCAACGAAGAACGTATGCAAACCTCCGACCAAAACTGTTACAGAGGAATTTATGAAAAAAATTACAGAAATTTAACGATCTCAAGAAAACAAGAAGACACATCTAAAATGATAAAAGTTGCTTCACTGTTAGCTCTGCTACGCCTTCTCGGCAGAGCGCTAAAATAAATCTAGCAAGGATCTATTCCCGGTCTCTCCAAAGTTGGAGAGCATAAATAAGACAGGAGCGACCTTAAATTCAACAACTAGGCCAGCAGAGCGTTAGAGTGATTTTAAGGTCAGCTTGTCATGCTAGACGGAAAAAAGGTAGGGCAGGAGATGAGCGCCGTACCCCCGTCAGTGCTGCAATCAGCTGTGTGCTACATTTTCCGCATCATCGCATCAGATACATAAAGCTGCTTCAGTAGTCAGCATGTCAGTTCAGCTTGAGAGCGACCCAAGTCAGCAGCAGCGCCGGCGCTCCGCACTAGCTCAGCCTGGGGCTGAACAACCACACACAAAGCCGAGCTGTTTGATCATAGACTGAAGGGGGTCATTGTTTCTAAATCCATCCCAGAACATATGCTGCACCCTAAGATTCAGGTCCATTTTACTGTAGCTTCCTCGTGAAAATAAAAACACTGTTTTTCCAGTGTTTCCGAGTATGATCCATGAGAAGAGTAAACAACATCATCAAAGGAGGCACAAGGAGGAAGAAATCGATTTTGGGGCCATTTTCCGCCAGTCACCCACCAGTCGCCACGGCATTGCTATCATGTCTTAGAAATTCTGCCAAGCTCGATCCTTTGCACTTTTGTGTTAGTCAAGTTGTGGACGAACAATGAATTCTTTAAATTCAAGGGTCTTGGAGGATGTGATCAGTCACATCATATAAATAACAAGATTTTGGTATGAAATGTTTAGGCTCTTGGTAGCGGCAAAGAATTTTTTTTTTTTTTTTTTTGGATTTACAAATCTTTACAGCAGCTTAAGACCAAATGTGTCAATTAATTTCCCTCGTTTGTTTGCAAAACAAACACAAACTGTAGCTTTAAATAATAGTTGTTGACATAGAGACACAGCCATCAAACTCTTCCTGGCCAATGTTAATTTTCAGTTTTCTTTGCCAGTGTTTCTATGGATTGTAACACATAGAAGAGTTCAAAGCCGTTGTGTGATTTTTGATAGCGGCACTAGCTTTGAGTCCACCTAAAAATCTAGGGATGGCAAGACTGTCTCCATCAAAGTCTGACCCTGATGTTATCTGATTTTTATTCAACTCAAAAACGTGCATCAAAGTACAAGGGCTTGGTTGATTAATTTAAAGACTGAACATGGTTATTACGCTTGGCGCATTTAAAGGCCAGAAGGAGATAAAAACCCCATCTGTTTTTCCAGTTTCCAACCTGCCAGTCACTGATGAAGATTGTCTGATTTGGCCAACTGATTGGTGCGTCTCCATCAGACTATTATGATTTCCCCTTGGATGATTTAAAGCAACATGTTTGCAACTTCTTTTCAATCTGAAATAAATGTAAATTCATCATGTTTGATCTTTAGAAAGCGTCAAAATGGATTTCGTAGTCAGCTTACTCTTTAAAAAAACGGTAATTACAAGTATGCAGTTTTGACATATTTCTCAAAGCAAAAGCTTTGTTCACTTGTGCCACGGGCTGGCCCAGACAATAATCAAAAAGAAAATATTAAGTGCAACCGAATGATAATAAAACTCTAGCTTATTGTGTTTTGGTCACAATGCAACAATTGTTGTGTCCCTCACATGTTTTAATCCTGAGTAAACAAAGATCACATGTGGGGTTCCTCAAAGCTCTGTTCTTGAATATTTCATGTTACACCAATAGCTCAGACCGTCTTAATATTCTTTTAATATTTTATTGTAATTTTCTTTCCCTTTGTTCATTTCTCTTATTTTTGCAAATCATGTTGGATCACCTTGTACATGAGGTAAAAATAAAAAAATAAAAATAAACATGTCTTGCCTATTAACGGCTGTGAAACACAAGTGAGACAGAGTTTTTCATATTAATTCATGCAAAGCACAAACATGTGTCTACAATGTCATAAAACAGAGAGGTTACCAGCTATCGGGCTCTCCGACGGGGAGCACGGTGTTCAGGTCCAAAACATCGACCTCGTCCAACACGGTTGTGGCACCGGCAGCGCCGCTGTCCTCCACGGCGGCGCCAGGAGACGCGGAGCTCGGCTGAAAATACGCGAACGGCTCCTCCGCTGGCGCCCGCGGCGCCGAGTAACACGGACGAGTCGGACTCGAAGCGTCATATTTACACGAGAAGCTGTCACTCAGGCACGCCGTGGCCCCGTGCAGACACGACAACGAGGTCTGGAGATGAGGGCCGACGGAGCAATTGTTTACAGCGTTCGCTCTGCTCCGCAATTGTTCATTCTGCTTCTCCAGTTTTCGGACCAGCTCCTGGAGCTTCAGCACCTCCAGCTCCGCGTTGGCGATTTTATTGTTGCCGCTGACGTCCGCCATCCTCTGGGGGTTCAGCACCTCTGCTTCCATTTGCTAACAAGCACATTGAGAGGAGCGGAAAGCACGGCCTGCTGGCAGAGGGTCTCTTTCGATTCAGAGAGGGTGTCCAGATTCCCCCCCTTAAAGCTACTACTCACACACAGACTCACACTGATGCTGCTGCTGCTGGGATGACTGCACAGCCTGCATCTCATTGGTCAGCAGCTTCGAGTTAAATTCCCATCACACCACCACCGAGGAGGTGTTTGTTATAGCCACTCTGAAGACATTTAAAAGCACAGATATGTGCAGTATCTGTGTTTACTGGCATGTTTTGTTTTTGTAGCTTTTTGCTCTGAAATTTGATATTAAACATATTAAAGGAGCCCTGTCTTTGCATTTAACCCATACAGTGACAAACTGCAGCACCATATTACACTTATAATATATTACATTTATTATAGCAGTACATTCGTGAAGACAAAGTTATTTTTCTGACTTACTCTTTTGTTCGGACAGTCGTGTCTGAAATGCAGAAGAACAAACTTGACATTTGTACTGACTAATGTGCAGCTACAGTGTTTCTTTAAATACAACTCCATTGACACCTATTGACGTGTCATGATGCACAACTTAACTATCAAACTTTCCTTCTGCTGTATTATTACTAAAATATTTTTTTTCTGATATTCTAACACCTAATAAAATTATTATTTTTATTATCTTGAGCCATTTCATTTTTTGCTATTCATATATCTTCAACTCAAACATAAATGTGGACCTTAGTCTTTTTAGCCTTATTGGCAAATGTCATGCTTTGACATCTTTAGTCCGACCAACTATTGTCCCCCTTACTGGCCCAAACCTGGTTTGCTTAAGTCTTGGGTCGGCTGGGTAAATTGCCAGTAAAGCAAGTTGATTTTAAATTCTGATATTGACAAAGTTAATAAAAAACAAGTAATGCACTCCAGGTATTTTACAGACATACCAAGTATTGTGACTTTATTGCTCTTTAGGACTGTCTTTCAATTAGCAGTACACACAGTGCTGATCAAATGCTGTTTGCTGTTCCTCTATGTAATATATTCAATTGCAATTAAAAAAATACAAAAACAACATTGCAGAGTGCTCTAATCATTTGAAAGATACATTTAACATACATTGTTGCATTAACTTTATTTGTTCAGTTGCAGGTTTTACAAAGGCAAAGACACCCTTGAATAGGGAATTGCAAACAGATATTCTTCAATTCCCCTCTAACAATAGACAGCCTGACCTTTTACTTGAGATTTTAGCATCCGGTTTAAAACAAAAAACAAAACAAAAAAACACAGTCTTCAGTAATTTAAAATTTTATTTAAGTACAAGTCTTTCTTTTATCATCTTTTTTTTTTGTTCTGTATCATCACGTAATAATTTAGCAGTAAACGTAGACTCAAAGAACAAAGACTTTCAAGAAAAAATGTAAATAACGAAGTTTTTTTTTTATTATTTGCCCTTATTGCACAAAGAAAAAGCCCCCGGCCCTCATTATTGTAGAATATCCTGTCATGTTACTCACAAGAGTCCCCCAAGAAGTGACACATTAAAGAGAGTATAGAAAGAGATATACAGTGTAGAGGTAGAGACAGATGTACTAGTAGATTTCATGCCATGTGTGGTCTGTAGAGTCACATGAAAATGTAATTTACATTATGTAACTGTGATTTTTTTTTTTTTTAAAGCACCCACTTAAAACGTCTTAGTACGACCCTCATCACCCACACCATCAGAATGCAATAATCTGTGAGGAGCTTCTTCAGCGGTGCCATTTTTCTGTCAGGAGGAAAAGAATTGTGTTTATTCACATTTATTGATTGAAGAGCCGAAGAACAACAAAAAAAAGCCAGCAAAGAGATTGTTCATCTACCTCTGGTGTTCTCGAAGCAGTTTTCGCAGTGCACCTTGCGCTTGTAGATCCACATGCTGTCCCCGGCTTTCATGTAGCCCAGAGAGCCGTTGCAGACATCACACTGCCAAAACAAACAGACGCTTAAATGAAGACGGATAATCATGCTTAGCACACAGCGGCCCGGCTGTTGCCTGTTAATGTCTGACATCTTCCGGATAAATGTCGCTAAGCACATTTATGTGGATTCCAAAGCTGCGCGGAGGGGAGGATGCCAGAGGAGGACTTCGGTGATCTATTTCAGATATTTTACATGTATTGACAGGAAGCGTTTTGGATTTCTGTGCAGCCTCTCTGTGCTGCGTGCAAACCTATCGAAACCCAGTATTGACGGAGACTTGCAAAAGTAGCTATGACCCCTCACATTTGTACACATTTTGACACATCGCAACCACAAACGTCAGGAACAATGCCTAGAAATAAAGTGTGAAGTGGGAGGGAAAAACGTTTCAACTCTTTTTCATCCAACCTGTCATCGACTTCGACCAACTTCCTTGTTCATGCTGGAGAAAAGCATTACAATATTTACTCTCTTTGAGTATGCAGTCAAATAGTTGGACTCTGTTTAATAACTAAGGGATCTCTGGAGAAATTGTGTTGCATTGCAATTTATTGAGGGGTACCATAATGAGGGGGGTTGAATAAAACTGGAAGCTGCTGTTGTCTGATCAGATTGGTTTTTTTTTATGTGAAAATTCTCAGTTATGCACCACTCCGCGTTGATCTGTCACACAACATTCCCATAAAAACACATTGCCGTTTGTGGTTGTAAGATCATATAATGGGGGAACGGGTTTAAGTTGATGAAAAAAAGTTGCATGTTGAAACTGCAGGTCTCACTTTGAAGCAGGTGGCGTGGCAGTTGATCTTCATGTCGTCCAGGACCATCTTGGCGTCTCCAGTGAAGGGCTTTCGGCAGGTGGTGCACAGGTCCTTCTCCAGCACAGGCCTGTTTCAAACAAGACACCATCGCCGTTTAAAACATGGTAGTTAAACTTCAATTTTGTAAAAAGTCCATCAGCAAGTCTCCTCGCATCACTTATCCTTGACCTCGCCCTGTCATGAAATCTCATTGCTAGTGAAAGTCTTTTAACCCAACAGCCAGCTTAAAGGATTTGCAATGATATGCCAAGAAATTCAGCCAACATAAATCCAGTGGTTCTTAGAGCTCAACTCATTTGGCGACCCCTAAGTGGTACTTAATATTTTAGATAAATTAATTGCAATTATGTAAAAGATCCTCAACAATTTTCTACGAAGACGTTTTGAACCTGTCAAAATGGTGAAACGCTGCTTTGGTGGACACTTTCTCTGCCTCAAACGATTGTTGGATGGGGGCCTTTAAGCGTTAACCTTGGCTTGCCTAGCAACGCCGTAACTAACGGGTCGCAGTTTATTTAATGTCGCCCTTGTCTGCCTCAAATTCAAACATTCTTCTCAGACTTGAAAATTCATGTCATGTGCTTAGCGGCTATAGTGATGAGCACGGTAAACTTGAGAAACGATTTGCGTCAGCATGTTGGTGAGACACAAATCCACTGCTGACTTTGGCATTTAGCATTTTGCCGTTTCTTTGGGCTACATATTTCATAATCAAGAGATGCTGGCGGTGTTCTTTTCCTACCTGTCAGGGGACTGATAAACACTCTTCGTGGAAGACTTGGAGTAGATCGGATCTGACAGGATGTCATCTGACAAGCTGTGAGAGTTTTAAAAAAAAAAAAAAGAGTGTTTTCGCTGTTAATCTGATGACTTGCACCCAATTCCCATCAAGCATCGGCTGAGATCATTTCATACCTGCTGCTCTTGTATGATGTGGAGCTGTAGAGCGAGGGGCTGTTGAGGCTGCTGTACTCATAGCTGCAAGAAGACAGAACCAGAGACACATTTTTACCTTTTCTGTTGCACTTATTCTTTACCGAGCGATTGTTGTCCACTTCCTCTGGCACCCACCTGGAGTCTGGTCTGGAGTAGGAGTAGGATTTATAGTCGCTGCTGCGTTTGTGCAAACAGAGAAAGGATTAAAGACAACAGAAACACCACACGTATGTTTTATTGCAGTAGATAACATGAGATACTGACCTGTACGAGCTGGTGGGAGAGTAGGGAGTATCGTCAATGTTTGAGCTGTAGCTGATCATCAAAAAATAAAAAATAAAAAAAAGTTAAGACATTATTTGGATGCAGTAAAAATATATATATTTTATTTTACTTGTATTAATACAACAAAGGAAATTTTGTGCATTGTTATAGGTTTTAGAGTTGCTTTCTTTTCTCACCTGACGCTGCGTGTGGATGACGGTGTTGATGGGGTTTCGTCTCTGAAAAAAAAAAAAAATAGAAAAAAATGTCAGAAAATATGTCTTTGTCCAATGCTAAAAAGAAATGAAAGAACCGCTCACTCTTTTTTGGTGTTGACTGTGATAATGTCCTTCACCGTTTTGCTTGAACTGTTGAGAGGATGAACATTTAATGTTTTACCAACGTAATAAAAAAACAAAAGCTGACCTGTTTTATTCATTTATTGACTGAGACGTCTCACCTGACAGGAGATGTGATGGCTTTCGGCAGGAGGGTGTCATAGAGGTCATCCGCGGGCCTGTTAAAACAATGACATCATCACAGCTGCAGTTCAGACACTGCGATGGCGTGCTACATAAAAATGGAGGACAGGTTTCAGCTTACGTTGAGGAGGACTTTACAGTGACTGTTTTTGTTGGTGTTGTTTTGGGGTCATCTCTTGAAATCAAAATGAGAAAAAAAAAAAAAATTTAAATAGTGTTCCTGGCTTAATAAACACTAATATTAATATTGTTATTAATAGTTATAGTATATACAATATATTCACTTTTGATGTTTAAATACACTCTTTGAATCAGATTAACTCACACAGTGTTGGAGCTCTTCACCGTCACAGGCTCACTGCTGGACACAGTTGTTTTTTTACTGTAACAAAGAAAATATTCCAATAACTGGTCAGATGAAACTATAAAAAAATGTCCCAGCTCATCATGGCATTGCTGGGATTTAAGCAGCTTGTATTCAAGAACGTTGAAATGTGCAGTACAGAAAAACCTGCTACCTGTCTCCATCCTTGATAGCACTGGGAATCAGAGTGTCATAGAGTTTGTCCTCAGCACTACAAGAAAGAATAAATACAAGATAATTAATTTACCAGTAGTGCACCACACTGTTGTTTCTTTTTATCTATTTATGCAACAGGAATATAAAGAGGAAATGTTTTAACTTTTGCAGTGCAGCTTCCAATGTGGCAACAAATTCACATCACATTTCACAGACACTTAAATGCATATTTAAAGAATGTTTAAGCCTCCAAACCTTAAAAGCTTTAAAAACTGAAGTAAGTCTCTGAAACGATTCATTACCAAACTGTCTTTCTTTATTATAAAAATGAACATTTCCTGAAAAGCCCATTAGTTGTGATGCTGGCTCTGTGGCTGTACAGAGCAGTAACACACTCAGCAAGGACACTGCACCCTCACACATCCACTGTTCACACACCTACAGACCAGCTGAGCATCGAATTAGCCTACTTTTCTTTTTTTTTTTTTTTCAACAGAAGATGAAAAATGCATTATGTAAGGTCTAATCAGAGGGAGTTTTAACCAGAGATGCAGTAAATCTGTGGGAAATATATTTGCCAGTTTGCGTTTGGATTTTTGTGCAAACATTTCACCTTGGTTGTTTTTCGTTTAGCTTCGTCTTCAAATGAAGACAAATACATTCATGGTCGATGAAAATTGCATTCCTTGTAGCAGATTGCTGTTAATTTAGAGACTTAAAATGAGCTTTTCTTTAAGTATATGATAGGAACAAATTAGTTTTGTTTTATTTCAACTTTACTAAAATATTTGCAGAAACCAGCCATTATTTGTTGTTTTCAGGTTTATAAATCTGTAAAGGTGTGTGCTATTTTGGTGCCCATCTTACATCGCATCGCTGCTGCTTTTCGCCGTCACAGTCTCACTGCTGCTGTCCACTTTCTTTGTCTTTGTCTTTGTCTTTGTCTTTGTGCTGGTTGTGCTGCTGATACATTAATGGGATGTTTGAGAATTAGAATATCAATCAGGTTCTTTTTTTGTTGTTGCTTTGTTTTTATTTATTTGTTTTTTATATTTTTAATGACTGAGATGTTTCACCTGTCGGGAGATTTGATCGGATCAGGCAGGAGGGAGTCGTACAACTTGTCTTCAGCCCTGTAGAAACAACAGCATAATGTATTCATGAAGTGGATTATGACATATAGAATCAATCGTCTCTCATAATCACTTAACCATATGCTGTGGCTTTCATGTGTATTTATTATACTATAATATAATGTAATGTAATAGAATAGAATAGAATAGAATAGAATAGAATAGAATAGAATAGAATAGAATAGAATAGAATATTGCACTGCATTGTAGTATTGTATTGCATTGTATTGCAATACATTGTATTGCGTTTCATTGTACTGCAACATGTCTGACCATATTGATCTGATACTGGTGAGATCACATAATATTGTATACTGTCACACTGCAGAGTACTGCATTCCATCATCTGTTATATCATAAAGAATATGATCATATTGCATCAGATTGTTTAGGATCACATAGTGTGGTACATCTTATCACAATTTATTAGATCTTATTGTATCACATCGTAACGTATCGTATTATATTGCGTTGCACTGCATCACATCATGTCGTATATCCTAGCATATTGTCTAGAATTGCATGGCACCTATTATTTTATTCTATAGTTTTGTTTGACTTTGCAGTGTATTGTGTTGTGTCATTGTATTTTTCTGAGGTGAAACAGCGGCACCTGACATGAAATTATTGCAGGTTAAGGTCAGCGGTTTGATGACACTCTCAAAGGATGGGGTCAAACTTACATTGCATCACTGCTACTTTTCACCGTCACAGTCTCAGTTGTGGTCACAGTTGTTTTGCTACAAAGGAGGGGGAAAAAAACATCATAATGAGCATAAACGCAAACGCTCCTGTGTATCAAAGCGCATTTGCTGTAACTTTAGGCTTGGTGAATGGAAATATCACCTGTCTTTAGTTGGGGAGTCGTCCTTCAAAGGTGATTGGGTCAGTGAGTTGTAAAGTTGGTCTTCCGCTCTGCGTGGAAAAATATTAAAGGTAAAATGTTTTTATACAAATTAGTACATATTATAGTAACAGGGCAATTTAATATGTTTAAATCTTACCCCTTAGTGGTGGGAATAGTCGGTTTTGTTGTCTTGGTAGGCGAGTAGCTTGAGTACTGTGAACTAGATGTGAGAACACGACAAGTGACCTTCATTTTCAGTTTCAAAAGTATCTTGTATGCACAGATTGTGTATAGAAGATATACTAAAAAAACAGTTTTTTTACAATTTTCTCTTTTTTTTAATGATATAATCTGTCTGCTAAGAAACTTTAAATTAATCTTTTGAAGAACAAATTTGACAAGGAGTCAATTTGCAGCTCTTAAAACACGCATAAATGGTAATTCCACTGACAATTAGCAGTTTGTGGCAGGAGATTTCTAAAATGGTTCAATGAAAATAAATTAATAAAAACAGGATAGAAGTATAAATAACCAATAACAAAATGTAAACCTCATATTACACTATAGTTTAGCTCTAGTCAATGTATTTCTTGCGTCAATGGTTAGATTGATTCTTACTCTTTGCTTGAGGATTTGACACGCTCCATGAACGTCTCAGTTTTATTGGGTGTTTTGGTCACAGGAGACCTGCAAGGAGACAAAAATGGAAAAAGTCTCCATAATGAGAAAATAGTTATGACATAGATATAACATAATGATGAAACACATCATGCGGTTTCAGAGTATTGATATTTTATTCCCTACTTGACACTTTGGGTGGTAGTGACGGTGGCCTCAGTTGTCCCGTCCTTAGTCACCTTTGTGCTTTTAGTGCTAAAAGAGTGGGGGAGAAAAAGGCAATAAATAAAATAGTTCTTTACTGCATTTTCCTATATGTCTATGTTACAATCTCACAATCTTTGTGATATACAAGAGCAGTGCTTACGTGCTGGACGTTTCTGTCTTCGCACCGGAAGTTCTAGTGAAGCAGAAAGTGAATTATACCAAACAGCATTTGCATATCTACATGAAACATCACATGCATACGTAGTGTGTATGTTCATTCACACACTATAAATGGTGTATATATGCATAAAATGGGCTCAGATATGAAAATGTACCTTTTTGAGTAGTAAGACGGTTTCCTGCCAGTAGAAGAAAAGCATGTTTTAGTCATGGGTTAGGTAATGATATAAATACAGTAGAATTATGTATTTACCACTACTACTATTGCTACTACTATTAATAAAAAAATTAAATAATTAAATAAACAAATAAAAAAATAAATAAAAAAATAAATAAATAATAATAATAATGGCACTAACATGGTTTTCAGGTCATCTGTGCTTCCACTGAACCTGCAATGAGAGAACTCAGACGTTAAGGCTCTTGTTGTAGTCTATGTATGAATTGATAAAGTTGTGGTATTATATATTTTCCAGGCACATGATGCAATTTTATAGCACAAGTAAGTAACTGTGTAACCTCCAGTTGTGATAAATAATTTTTGTATATATCAAACTTTACATCTTTGCAAGACTTTGCAATTTGATGCCTTGAAATTAGATGTTTGTCTCTATAAGAAGCTCAATGTCCCTCTGACACCTGCTCTCAGCAACATTCCTCCATTATAATGTTTATGACCATTTGCAGGAGCATTAGTCTGAGAAGTAGCTCTCGTATAACGAGCTCCGCAGACTCGCACTTCCACCAGGTGTTTGTAATCACTGCTGCCGCTAGTCTGGAGGAGCTGAGTGGCTCGGCTGGAGACTGCAGCTCCAAGTAGGAGGTTTGTGGAAAGAGGCAGGGCTTTGTCAGAGCAGGTGTTTTGCCGAACGAATGTCTCCCAATGGGAGATTCGAGGATTTCTCAAACGTGCATAAAATAAAATAAAAATCAAATCAACACTCAAGGTATGTTTCTGATGAGGGAGAAACATTGTTATGATATAATACAATGATGTAAAGCTCAAAAAAAGTTGATTTTACACACTAACCCCTACCTTTAATCTTAAAAACCTTTTAGCACACTAAAAGTGCTATTACCTCTTGGAGAGAGCTTGGACAGATGAGGATGAGCTTGTTTTAGTTGTTCTTGTTGACTTGGGTTCTGGGGTACTGTGTAAAAGATAAAGACAATATGCATTATTTAAAAAGAGATTAATGACACAAATGACCATGAGATGTAGTCCTTTTCACTTGATACTTTGATTGAGATGGAGATTTATGTTTGTTTTACCTATCAGTGGTATCAGTGTTATTCACTCGACTCAGGACACTTTTACCAAAGTTTGGGTCTCGGCTGTGAGAGAGGAAAGAGAAATCATTCATCCGTGCAGTTATGAGTCAACGCTGTGACTCGCAAAAGGAATGCGAGTGTGTCTGAAGGTGCGCTTGGTACAGGTAACTCTTGTCTGTCCAGCCAATCCTAAAGGGTGTGAGCCGGCTTGCCTTCGGTATCTGTACACTTACTCGACGGGCTCGTCTTCGTCATCAGTTTTTCGGATCCAGCTGTTGTCCTTCAGCAGAGAGGTTTTCTTCTTGCTGTCATCGAGCGCTTTGGTCTTGGCTGCAAACAAACAAAATGGATCATTCAGGCCCTCTGTATATTTAAATACGTCTTATGTCCATGTAAAGCTTAATGTGAAAAAAGTTAAAACGGAGTGAAAACTTGGTGCACATTTGTATTTTTTCATTTTATTTACTACCATTTTCATTAAGTATCAGTTTCATAGTATGCCAAGGTTTCAAAACACACACAAAAAAAATCCATAAATCATTTTTCAGTTGAAAGTCTTTTTCATGAGATGCCAGACCAAGCAAAAATGATGCCATGCTGACCGTCCCCCACTTGTTTCTAAGCACTGCAGGCCAGCTGGCAGTGCTTAATTAAGGCTGTGTTGTTTACAAGGTCAACAGACTCAGTTTGGAAATATTTCTGGCTTGGAAAAACACAGTCATGAAATGCAGTCTAGAAGAGCCCCACCTTTCACCTGTTTTAAAGTAAGCCTGTTTTGACACTACTGTTGCTAAGATACGAGCGGCATTTCTGTGGTAGAGCCAACTACATGCTAACTTCCTTAACAGCTAATATTAACATGTCGTAGAGCAAAAAGGTATAACGTTCAGTGCAATGCACTTCAAAACTATGACTGAATTATGTGGGTGCTATACAGTTTTTAAACCAAAATAACAATATATACATATACATACAGAGCTCTGGGGAAAAATGTAAAAATTAAATTGATCAGTTTGTCAGATTTTACATTTTACATGTATATGTTTTAGTAAAATAAACATTGTTCTTTTATTCTATGACCTACTGACAACATGTCTCCGAAATTCCAAGTAAGAAGTTTGTATTTAGTTGCAGAAAATGAGAAATGGTCAAAATAATGAACAACAACAATATCACAATATGAAAACCCGGTTTTGTATTTAATCTTGTTTTCTTTGTCTACTTTTAAAATTGGTTTGATGATCTTAAACAGCTGAGTGACAAAAAAAAAGAAGCAAGAACAACAGAAATGTGCGCGGGGCAAACATTTCACATAGCATAGAGTATGATTTTCTAGATGTTGTCAGTAATTATGTGACACAACAGTTTCAATGATTCTGTTGTTATTCGTAATAATGTAAATACTTACAAGTTGAGTAGGAGCTCATTTTGGACTCTCACCTGAAAATGACAGAGGAAAATAGAGCACATTAAACGGACGCTAGGTGGCACTGCAGCCTAAGAATGTAATGTGAGGCGGCTTGCTGAAGCTCAGCATGAACTGAGTGAACCTAAGAACTCCGATCTGAAATTACTCATTCTTTGCTTCTGCATACTTCTCATTTTCCTTCGTTCTGAGCGTTTTATGAGCAGCTTACATTAATGACGCTGTCGGGTTTGTCGCTGCACCTTCGGTCCATGCTCAGTGATTGAGCCATAAACTGGTTTGTCTTGATCTATGCCCACATGTAGACACACCCACCCTCCACAACACTCCTTCTCCAAACACACCATTGTCAGCAAAACAAGAGGGGCATACAGTAACATGCCAGAAAATGCTATTGAGAAAGAATCAGAAGGCAGATATAAGCAAGTGAAATTATTAGTAATGCAGTCCAGAAGCAGTATTTTGTAAGAGGTTTCTGTACTCTACAATGTGCGTGTTTTTGAGGGAATCACAAACAGTTGAAGCCAAAACAACAACAAAAAAATCTTTACAATAAAAAACAAAAATTAGGATGCAGTTCGTACAGCTCAGCTCATTAACATGAATTTTCGTGCTTATTTTCCTTCATTTAACCCCTTTTCTATTAATATCGCACAAAGCAGCAGGATTAATTCAGTGCTTTCACTCTACAGGACGAAAACGGTTTGCTGTTTTACTGCATCAGCCAGAGCAAGAATAGTTTTCACTGCTAGAGAAATAACTATCACTTTGTGTGCGTCATCTGAATTGTTTCAGAGTGTCACGTCTGCTTCTAGCGACGAGGATTCATTCATCGAAAGGGAAATCATTCAATGAGCGGGACACAAACTAAAACTGCTTTCACTTAAAGATTTTTTTTTTTAGCATCTTGAAGGTATCAGTCGAAGGAAAAGTATGCTGCTCTTAAAACTGATAGGATGATATATATATACTTTTTCCCCCATGGAAAAAGTGTCTGGGTGGCAGAAAATTTTTTTTAAATTGTTTGGCAAACATGTTCAGCAAAACTGCAAATCGACACTGAGTTTAGGCCCCTTTGCCTTATTCTTTATCTTTAGAACATGTTAAATAAAATAACTTGTATTTTTCTTTTAAAGTTTTGAGGGTTAAAATTTTTTTTTTTTTTTCAGTGATCACAACCCCCCCTCCATCCCAACCCCCGTAAATAATAAAAATAAAAATGACATAATCACTGAGGGAAAAGTTATGACAGAAAATATGATGCATACCTCTGGAGATGGCTCTGTTCCTGGGGTTTGAAAGGTAAAATCCTCACTGTGGCTGAGGTCTGAATACCTGTCTATCACTCTTCTCGGCACAGTCACACCTTTGTCATTCCTTCTGCTTTTAACCTCAAGGGGAGGCCACCCTTTGGGAGTGGCCTCGCAGAGGACTCAGAGAAACTGTCTTCCTCTTTTCATGTCGCTCTACATGTTTCTTCCTCCATCGTCATCGTTTCCCTCTTAATTATTCGTTTCTGAGTGCAGGCTGAGCTTTAAAGGAACTGGGTGGAGTGCTGAAATACCTGCTCCTCAGCTTTGGTGTTGAAGTAGGTCTTTCTCGCATAGTCTGGAACTAATCAGCTCTATTAAACCCTGACCTCTGGAGCATTTTAATCACAGTTTGTGGACATAAAGTGAGCAGAGTGATCTCAGTAGGCCATTCTGCAACATGATTACTCACCAGTGTCTTGCCGGAGTTGGTCTTTTACTGCGTTATAGCTGAGACGAGACTTTGTACTTTACTCGTGCTGATAAAAGTACTACAGTGTTCGTTATAATTAGCTGGGAACTCCACAAAAGTGGCCTTCGAGGAAGAGTGGCACAAATAAAGCAGTGGACAGTTTACACCGTAAACACGTAGATGAACGTGCTCTCCTCCAAACGTGGACCTTGTGGGTTACGTCGAAAGACACGATACGTGAAGTTAAAGTACCAGATTTCTCCCCTGAACATGTCAACCCCGTAATGAATTATAGTAGTGGCTGCATCATGCTGTGGGGATGCTTTTCTTCAGCAGGGAAGCTAATCGGAACCAGTGGGAGGACGGATGGAGCTAAATGGAAGAAAAGCAGTGAAAGGATGGACAACAGGCTGAAACATACAGCCGGAGCAGGGTGTGATTACTTTAGCAACGCTTCTTTCTTAGTTCCAACAAATACAATATCTGGCTTAGATTTGAGACAGTGAAGAGCAGATCTCAGTGAACCCAGAAGTTCAAAATCTCCCTCCATGGTACACGATGCACCATGCAAGTGTGATGTGATCATTTTCGGACTGGCTCCTTATCAGGGGCACCAATATCAGTCTGAAAAAGCTCATCCTTTGAGCAAGTGAGAAATGTGCCATTGGGTGTGCCATGTTCTGGGTGATCAGAGGTATGGCAGGTGCGCAGTCACTTTCATACCTGGCTTGGGTGTAACTGCATGTCTCTGATAGATTAACCCCTCCCAGTCACTGACGGTGAAGGAGGAATGCAGACGGGCCCAGAATGACAGAACAATAGAGGTGAGTATCCAAAGACAGTTGAGACCTATTTTTTTTGTTGTTGTTGTTAATTCTGGACAATTATCGGTGTCCAGTTGTGAAAGAAAAACTCCACACTTTTTATTCTAAGCGCTTTTGGATTTTAGGCTTTATAAAATCCAAAGATCTACTTGTAGGCTCTCACATGTGTTTTTACTCTGCATTGCATATCAAAGCCATCCCCAAAGATTAGTAACATTGATTACTTTGTCACTATAAACCCTGAGTTGCTCAGGACCTGTAGTGACGACAACACTTATAGCAAAACTCAGAGTGAAAGCTAAATAAATGTTAATCCAACTCACTGGTAACAGATTTTTCTCTCAAAAACTCACAGGTACTCCGAAAATTAAAGTTTTTAATTGTTTAAATTCCAAACTTGTAATTTAAACAGCTATTTGTTTAAATTAATCATAATAGCCAATTAAAAACATGTGAAACACATATCTTTATTTTAATTGGAGTCAAGCAAGAGATGGCCCTTTTAATGTCAAAATATCCATAATCATTCAAGATATGTGCTAAAGAAACACATTTGAACATTATATTAAATGCTATAAAACGAAAATAATAAATATTTGTGAAATCACAATGTCTGACAATGTATTTTTAATACGTGTTTTTCGCCACAGAATGAGTCAAACATTTTTAGCAAACCCACTTCTACACAAAACTTTTCATCTCTATTAAGCCATTTCCACTGGTCCAGGTTCCCTCCAAATGGGTCACTGAACACGCCACACTGCCCTCTACTGGCGAATATATCTAGCTCAAGTTAAATACTTGAAGATCCAGGTATGCATCCAGGTTTCTGAGTATAAATAAACACAGACCCTGCCATAGGAAGACTTTTGCAATATTCATTCAAATGTTCAGAGGTTTCTGTTACTGAAATGTATTGTGTATTTTCTGAGACTTACAGGAAACAATCTTCCTTTTTCTGGAATTTCTTTTTAAATCCAGAAAACGATGTGAAGCTTAAACAAAATATCACAATGTGATGCTTATAACTTGGAGCGTTTGTTGTCTCCTGGCTGGTCAGACTTTCGAAGCTCCTCCAGAGAATTTCTTTTAAAGATAACTTTTTTTTTATTGTAGTTTCTACAGCTCTGTATTAAATCTAACATTTTTGTAACTAAGGCATATGTGCTTTAGAAGAGTCTTATTTTTACAGGAACAAATCTTGAGTGGTTTTCACTGGCTGATGCAGCATTGTTCTAAAGTGTATTTTATCCTGACAGCTCGACATTCACACCTATTGGTCTGATCAGAAGTTTACATCTACCCAGTATGGATATGAATATCATGTAAACTGTGGTCTTTAATGATGAATTTGAACCATTCATTAATTCAGACTTGGGCTCCAAAATTTTTTTTTTTTTTTTTTTTTTTTTTGTATGAAGCATTAAAAGATTAAAAGACATGTTGGTGCGCTTCGAATCATTGTTTTGCAGCCCTATCAATTTTCATACTAATGTTAGCCTAAATCTGATATAGAAATGTCATGAAATGAGTCTTAGAAGCTCGAAATAAGTTTTAAAGTGTGTGTTTGACATGTTCCTAATGCATATAGAAGTGATGGTGAACATAACTGATGCACGTTTAAAAATAGTAAAAGGTGGCCAGTTTGTAATAATTAAATAAATGTCTTTCGTTGACAGATTGTTTATTTGGGCAGTTGATTGAGGGCTCTTGAACTACGATGCATTTTGAAATGTGAGAACAAATAATGATAACAGCAGACTGCAAAACTGAGATAAGTGTGTACAACAAGTAGCGCGCTGTGGGTTTTCCATCCGACCCGTTTTGTAAATCTGTCTGTAAATCCTTTGTCATATTTGCCATATTCTTCTGTGCTGTCTAGTCTGTGGCATTATCTTGGCCTAGATAATCTTCTTCCTCCTCCTTGATGGAACAAGAGAGAGAGAGATGATACAAGCAGGGGTTGGATCAATGGACTCCTCATGTGGATGTGTGTTCAGATTGCACAAACAGAAGCAAATCGTTCCTTCTATTTAAGGATTAACCGGAAATTACTCTTCAGGGATTCTGTTTGTCACATGTTTCTAAGATTAAAAACTCAAGAAGACTGTTCCTTCATTTCTTAATCATCAGTGCTACACGCTGCTACTGACGCCGATCGCCACCGAATGCTTCCTGGGTTGCTATGAAAAGAGACAGTATAGATGGACTTCTCCCCTTGTCATTGGGCCGATGCAATGCCTCGCAGCCAATAAAACAACACAAGCGGCCGCATGCATCTCCGTCCCTCTCCCTGCCTCAGCAAAAGTGAATGTATGCTAAGTTATAAGCCTTCACTGCAACCTCCTTCCCCCAACCCCCCCCCCCCAAAAAAAAAAAAAAAAAAAAAAAAAAAAAAAAGAAGAAAAAACCCCCCGAAAAAAAGAAAAA